TTATTTTTTATTTTACTTATTCTATCTTAGTATGGCATGAAAAATTAAGCTTTATTTAAATTACGAAACAAAGTCAGTTCTTTGTGTAAATCTTTAATGTCGAAAATTATTTTCTTGAAACCAAAACTGTTGCGTGCACGGGACAAATTGACAGACTTCGTTATGAATGCTCTTAAATAAGTTTCGAAAACTTTACAACGAAGGCATTACGTGCACACAATGTATAGACATCACAGACGGTCTTGTGCAACTGTTACTTTGTATAAATTAAACATACATCTTGACATTCAAGACATCTGTAAGTAGGTAACACTCGTAGAAAGAATGCCGTTCGTACTATCTTTAATACATGGTAACATTATATTTTAAAATACATTAAAAATGTTGTATTGAAATATTTTTATAGATGATAATGGACTATTAAATCACCACTTAAATTACTATCCACATTGTCTATACTATGGATATATGCTAGCGGGGCACTAGTAAGTTTTTTCATATTTGTGTGTCCAGGATGGCTGCATCACCAGAATCAAAGATAAGCACATGCTTATCTTCATATTTGTTATCTTAAGTTCTTTCTAATGTTATTTTTAAGTTCAAAGGACCCTAGAGAGCTCATGAATTAGTATTGCCGTAAACTTTATAAATTATTTATGAACTTGAGATAGGTATATAGGTAATATAATACGATTTCATGTGTTTCTAAAGTAACCATGGAAAATAAACTAACGATTCACCTGATGGCAAAGGAAATAAAATTATCAGCTATGCCTATTTTTAAATATATAAAGCAATTTTTTTTTACGATATTAATAGAATGACAAACAAACTGGCACCTTATGTGGTAAAAAACGATAACTGCCTCCAGTAGACATGAGTAGCATCATGGATATAACAGGTTATTCATTGTAATATACATGGATTTTTTAATGGATGATAATGGAATTGTAATCGTTAACAATAGAGCATGTGGTATCCCGTCGTGGGGCAACAGTAGGGGATGATAGATGTTGATTAAAGTTGGGCGGTCACACTATTATAACGAAGTCAACAAGAATTAATCATGATGATTTCCAGGGGCAAACCGCATGGAGATTAACTTAATAGGGTAACTTGCTAGTAATAAGAATTAACGTCCCCGTTATTAATAATTCCCCTCGCCCCGATATCCATGGTATTTCTCATGGGTTGCCATTATTGAGGACTGCGGCGTAATGCCTGCGTACCTCGTAATTTTACTGCCCAACCATGCAACCACGCTGTGTGCATCTAGGCTGAAATACGAGTGGGACAAAGATACCCACCCATTCCTTCAGCTTTCGTACAAAAACTCCCTCTGGTAAACTCTAGTAACCTTCTTAAACATCAAAATATAAATAATATTTAGTACTAGTATATGTACGTATGCTACAAACGCAGTGTAAGACGACCCCCCACTAGATGAAGTGACGATCTGAAATGCATTGCAGGGAGTTAATGGATGGAGGATTATTCTTTATGGCAGTCTATGGGGGAGGCTTATGTCCAGCAGTGGACGGATAATGACTGAAATGATGATGATGATGATGAAATTATACTCATTTATGTTTTTATTATTATCATGAAAGGTTTATTTAAAGGATATACAATATACCGATATTAAATTTTTTTTCGTTACAAGTTGTTAACCTTTATATAAATTTATAATATACCTATTAGACGGGCGGTTTTCTTATAAAAAGTTCCGGTTGTAAAATATTCAAATCTTTATATCCATTAGTGTCATATAGTCGCTATTTTTTTTTTTTATTCTAGCAATTATTTATTTATCTACACGCGTAAACATGTGGTTGAAACAAAAACTTTTGAAAAATTCCAAGTTGAAATTAACGTCAACAGTACAGCGTTGGTAAAAAATACACATACATTACGTTGTGATATGATAGAGCAAGTATTTTTAGAATCTACATACTTTCAATTTTCATTGATCCAGAGTAGAAAAAAATCTAACGTCATCTCAAAATCCGTTCTACACGTATTTGACATATAGACATTAGACATTAGAGTAGACAGTGTTGGCAGACTGGTGACGGCGTAGTAGGTAGAGTCATTCAGCATAATTTCGTTTACACAACAATGGCCGATCCATCCGTCATACTTGTGAACGGGTGTTTCTAGTAGGGACTGGTTTATTTAACAATACTGTGACTGATTGAAGTGTTTTGTCAATATGAAGCTTGTGATAGTCATTTTATCCATTCATATTGTTTTGTAAACTAAACTTTTATTTGAAAAATTAACAATTGAGTTCCTTGCCCGTTCTTCTCAGCTGAAATTGCATTTCGAACTGGTCGGTGGATTAATAAAAAATGACTATTTAAAAATACTTATAATAACATAACATACTCGTAAAGTATTAATAATAGTTTACTTCAAAAACATGTTTTATTTATTTATTTCTTTGTAATTAAGTACATAGAAGTAGGGAGAGAGTGTTTCAATGTAAACGAAAAAAATCCTAATCCTCGTATAATGGTACTTCGTATTCTCAGACATAAGACAATCCTCATAGTAAGTTTTAGTCTGGTCACAATAAAACTCTTGAAATTGTATGCTACACAAAAAATGTGTGTAAATAATGTGCATACAGTGCACATGCCTTGTGTGGACAGTGCCTTAATATTTGTGTTAATATTTATTTGTTTGTCACACTTTGGTCTATAACCTCAACTGTTTGAATAGAACCGCAAGTTCTATCCTTGATCTATGCCACAGCTATACCTAAGTACCTAACAGTGATAATATAGGGGAGGAGGGATTGTTAGTAATACGGAGAATACGGACTACCAGTCCTATGGCTAGCAATATACTTTGTCATGTTGACCTCCTAATGGTCTCCCCTTGAAAATATCGTGCTGAATTTCAGATGTATTCGTCACGATGGACTGACCTAACAGACCTGCATTTTCATTCTCACCCATCATACTTCACTGATGCCCCGCTAGCGTATACCGTTAGCGCGGGCTGGGTTACAATTACATAATCGTGAATTGAAAAAAAAAATAGTGATAATATTAAATTATCATCGGTCATTCCTTTACATAGTGCTATGTATTTCATGGTATAGCATAATACCATCAAACAATAGGAATACCTTGTTAACAAACTAAGACAACAATACAAAACTTAACGTCACAAGCCTTCTGCGAATGACAATGATGTTTTAACTTCTTGATTGTATACCAACGGAAATACTTTGTTGTTCCAAAATACGTAAAAACCAAGTCACATATTATATATCAAGTATGTTTGTATTGCCAAGAAGGGCATGTTTAAAATGACATCACTGTAAGGGAAGTTTAATATTACACTTCGGAAAAGAACAGTTTTAATGTTTAAAGGACGTCAAATATTAACATTTTAATTACAAAATTATTCATAGGAAATATTAAGTTTGTTTTAATATCAACACCTTTTTTTTATTGAATAGCCGTGTTTGCGATATGCATCGCAAAAACGGCTCTAAAATCATCAGAAGTCTCGAGTCATATATATTAAGCTATAGCAAGTTGAGATAGTGATATTACTGGAAAAATAACACTTTAATTTTTAGAAATAGCTTACGCATAAATGAAGGATATTACGACACGGCACTTATAGGTAATGTAATAAATGTGATGTTATTAATATCTATAGGTGTTTGTCGTATCAGCCGTTTTCTGCTGCTGAACATAGGTCTCTCCCATTCTCCCATGTGGGGGGTTTTACCGCAATTAGGCTTTGCAAATGTAAGAAGAACGCTGCTGCTCATCCCTTAATCATTAAGTTCTCTATGTCGTCTCTTACGATGCCCACGTGAATGGAAGGGGTGACCCATTCTTTGCCGGGATCACACGGCGAAGGGCCATTCGTTGTTGGCCATTCCGAGTGGTATAAAAAATTTCGAAACTTGAATAGATGATATTAAACATTTTAACTACTGTTCTTAAAGTCTGGTGGTGCACCCGCACATGGGCGGCGGTGGTCTCGTTCGTTCCTTGTGTTATAAAAAAAATATAGATAATGCTTTAGAGTTATTTATAATTATTGTGATCTTAAAAAAAAACCATTTTATCTTCACTAATATTATGTAATAATACTTGTATTGAACTATAGAAGTATATAGCTATTAGAAGAGTCTATTGTAACTTTATGTTTACATTCCACCAGTGTCATTACACGCTAGTGTCATTGTATTTGATTCACAAATATTGATATAATATATAAAAAAATGTTATTTGTATATCAATATTTGTAAAATACTTCTATGGAACGTCAAAGCTATCGAGTGTATTTATTGCGAACTTTTTTGTTGTACATACATATATGGGCCTACTAACTGTACAATATTATTAGAATAAGAATAATAATAAAAAATTGTGCCCCACAAAAAAAAACTAACTTTAACTGTGACAAAACCAGTCACTTTGATCTAAAAACTATACTACTGAACTGATTTTGATAAAATTTCTATGGATTCAATCTGAAAGTATATCCTTTTAAATAAAAAAACGAAAATTCCAAATTAGTTTAGAATTGATGGAGTTATGAGGGAACAAACATAATAAAAATAGACCGGACATACAATACAACAAAAGGTAGATACGTTACAAGTGAAACCTGGAAATGTTGCCAATTAGCACTTTTATAACATTCTCATGTTATTGATGGGTGAAAATGGTATGGTAACCCCGCCTGCGCTAACGGGATACGCTGTAGGGGCACCAGTGAAAGGTGATAGATGAGAATGTAAGCAGGCCAATTAGCCTATCATGGTGAATTCATCCGGAATTAACCATGATTGTTTCCAGGGGGAACCGCGAGGAGGTCGACCTGGTTGAGTATATTGCTAGCAATGGGATTCTCAGTCTCCATTACTAACAATTCTTTTCACCCCTACATTTTTATGTATACATAGTATTTGTGGTTACAATATGTAATAATTCTTATTGAATTTATGAAATAATTATTGTTCACAGAATCATGCCAGACCAAGAAACAGAAAATAATAGGGATCTAGTCAGCATAAAGGACTGGCTTTCCAAGCAGCCGCATTTGCCTCATGAAGTTGGTAAGTATTTAGTTATTGCTAGGCAATTGATCGCTAAACATAGCCTATTTCACATATATAAGCTTACTTATAATTTTACTGGCCTTAGCCAGTAAAATTATTTATATATTTGTTATTTATATCTATTATTGCTGTCATCTATATTTTATAATAGTATTATTGTTTTTCCTTTGCAGTTTAAACTTTAATTCTATATTTTTTGTTTATTAAAAATTCCTTAAATTTATATAAGAAAATTAGTTATGTAAAGTACGGTAGCCTGACCTTCATAACACAGGATTTTCCTAGCATGGAGGCCAGACACACTTACTGTGAATCAATATGTAATGTATATGTATCTTATAATTGCAATGGTTTATTTTTATTGAATAAATTATTATTATTATAGCCATAAAATATATGTTACTAAATTCAAAAAGTACTTTTTTTATACCATTATATATATTTTTTAGACGAGCCGCATACTCGTTTAACCTCCGGGTTATAAAAATTACCACGAAGGTGGCAAACATGGATACTGCTCGTCTGATGGTAAACAGTCATTGTAGCCTATCTATAGACGCCATCAATGCTGGTTGCTGACCTTGAAATAACTTTAATACGTCCTTTTTGAAGAAACGTATACTGTAGTCTCTAGGGGGAAAACACGGCAAGGAGCTTATTTTACAGCCTGAGTGCTTGCGGGCGGAAACCCTTCTGAGACCGCACTATATGCTATTATTTAGGTTCTAGCCTTCTACTTTGGTAGATGTGTACGAACTGTATTGATTTCAGTAATAAGATAAAGGATTTTTTTTTATTATCTAAGTGGTTCAGATACGCAAAGGTCAGTTGTGATAGAAAGCGAAAACGAGCCCGTGGCCCCGTCATTGTGGAGAATAGTATACTGTGAATCACAGTGGTGTTGTAGACAGTAGGAGTTCAGCAGAATCGTCCACTTGTCTTCCCTAGGACGAGGACGATTTTGTTTACGGTACTCCGTTGGTTTACCGCCAGATATCTGTGTCCTAATCTTAAATGACTTGGTACTTATTTATAACTGAGTAGTCTGAAATATATATATATAACAACCCATTTTTTTATTTTTGATCTTGCACTAATCTTGCCTACTTGCTACGTCGTATATAGCCACACTGTGTTAGGTTTACTGGAACTTATTAACTTATTTCTTTTAGAAAAGTCCATCTTTGTTTAAAAATGCCTTAACTAGATTAAAGAATATTGCGGTTGTGTCAATTATTACTTGTTATTTATAATCTAAAGACAACAATATTACAATAACGTAGAAATACTAAGGCTCAAACTAGTTTTATAGTTAAATGTCTGATATATAATTGTACAGAAAGGATGATTATAAGGAGTTACTTGCCGAGATATAGTAAGGTTTTTCCTGTTAGTCAATATCTAATTTATTTATTTGAACAAATGAAATCTATTAAGCTTCTATATCTACAATAGATGTTGGTAAAATTATTGAACCGGTAAAAAAACTTCGAACATCGTCATAGACAAAAAAATATATTATGGCGCCTTCACATTTGATCAACAATAAATCTGATAAGTAATAAATTTGCCTATGAACTTCCATATTATAGAAAAATAAAATAAATATTAGTAACTATAAGTTAATATTCAGTAATTCAGAAACACAGCCATGCAGGCACTGTTGCTGTGCTGCAGAACCATGTGTTAGAAACACTTACGTAAATGACGTTGACGCTATAAAGTTTATATAAGCGAGGTATGAGTTTATGTTATAATACTTATTACCTACTAAGCGTTTTATTATACATTTATATATGGACGATAAGAGTAATATGTTAAATCATATTTCGTATTCAACCAACTTCAAAACGGTGGAAATTTTTGATACGATTTTATGTTTTTTATTTCTTTAGTGCATATTTTTTTATACTACAAAAGTGGCAAACAAGCATATGCGTTAAAAAAATCTTAATATACTCTTTTTGAAAAACCCCATACTGTGGTCTCTAGGGAAAACTTTGGTAGCCGAACGTTCGTGGGAGAAAATTTCTCTGAAAACGCATGTTGTGAGATGTCTTCGTTAGTTTTTAATAGATATTGTTGATACCTTTTTAAACATCTTGGTTTAATTTTGCAAGACTAACACATCTGCGTTTTTTAAATATAAATTTATATATAATATAATATTTAACGAAATTCTTTTCTAATAAACTCTGAAGATGGCCTACTTTTCCAACTACTGTGGATTATGATTTTATTTATAAAAACAAATATTTACTGTACTTTTCACAAACAATATTTCGTAACTCATTCCATATCCAAATCATGTTTTTCAAGCTATAAAGAGTCCATTTCTTAATATATGTAATGGCTGCTTCCATTTTTAGTAACCTTCGAAGGTTTATTGTGAAACCTGTTTAGAATGCACAGCCCTACTGCTCTGTACCTATTGGATGTAATGATTTTATAGGGCTCATATGACCTAGTAAATAAAATGTATCAGACTCTATCTATATATTCTAGGTAATATGATGTATATGGTGAAAGGTATTAAAGGGATGTTGATTAAATTCAATGTAGTAATTATTTAATACGGTTATAATTAATGGTTGAAATAGGTATTAAATAATCATCATAGGATATTTTTTATTTTGATATAATAATGCATCCCAATGATAAAATATAAAAAGATTGTGTCACACAAAAAAACCGATTTCAATTGTGACAAAATCAGTTATTTTGGTCTAAAAATTAAACTATTGAGCCGATTTTGTTAAAATTTCTATGGAACCAATCTGTAAGTATAGAATATACTTCGATAGATTCAGATAAAAATAATTTTCCAAATGGGTTTAGAAGTGATGGACTTATTAGGTAACAACGTAACAAAAAATATAGCCGCATTGGGAACATCCTCCTTTAAGTTCTTTAATCTAGTTTTAGTTCTGTAATAACCCAGAAATCTAGATTACCTTTATCTCCACTTGGAGTCATTAAGTTAATTATTTTTAATCTAGTTTACGAATCCTGTTATTTAGTGATTAACACAAATATCATAATTGGCTTAGAACATTATTTCCGATCAACCGATTTTTTTACAAGAAGGAGGCTCGTTTTTGTTTGGTTTTTTAACTGAATAGATATACTTACAGATTGGTTCCATAGAAATTTTATCAAAGTCGATTCAGTAGTTAAGTTTTTAAATGGAAATAAGTAATTTTGTCACAATTTTGTTTGGTTTCCAGGGGGAACCACGTGGAGGTCGACCTAATAGGGCATATTGCTAGCAATGGGACTATCAAACTCCATTGCTAACAATTCCTTTCCCCCCAAGACCTGAGTGATTATAAGATACTATGCGATCATAGTCTATAATAATTATCTTGATAGATAATTATACTACAGTATGTTTTTGCAGTTAAATTTTATTTCAACAGTATTATCTACTTTATCACAAACGTGTGAAAATGACACTGTTGTGATGATGAAATCCTTGGAACTGTCGATTCAAATCTACGAAAACATTGACTAATGACTTGTATTGTACCTAATTAGAGTGATGACATAGTGCGTGACTTTGATTTGCCTAAAAAACAACTTTTGATCTTTTATAAATCTAACAGACATACAAAAACATTATAGAAGACGGGAATTAACTGGCTACTCGAATAGTATTGACTCCTACTCGTGTACTTGTAATTATAGTCGATGTGATAATTTACCCAAATGATTGTATTAGTCCTTAAGTACCTGAATTTTCAAATTTGATACTGGGGTTATAAATCGCATTGGCCGCCTACAATCGATTTTATTTTAATATTTGTCTGTTTACATGTTACCAAAATTTTTTTTTTTCAAAATAAATATATAAAAATATAGTTTTGATTTTTTTACTATTTTTTCCCATTAGTAAACACAGTAAAGGGTCCACTTATATATTTTTTAATTTGATTTAAAAAATCAGACTTTTAAGGGTTTATTTCTTAGTATTTTCATGTCAATAGACTTGATGATAAGAGTAAAAACAATACGTAATCGCAGATGTCTGTTTATTGTTCGACACGTATTAGAGGATAAATATAAAAAAGGAATAAGCTCTTAGTAGGTCCTTTATAAATATTTACCTAATTATCAATACATACCTGCTAGTATTATAGTTAAAAGAACACCTAACAGTACCTAATTATATTCAAATTATTTATTAACAAGCAGTAATTAATAATTTTATAACGCATTTATTAATATAATTAGTTACTTTAGATTATAATGGGTATTTATTTATTAGAAGGTCTTGTATTATAACACGTATCAACAATAAAGTACTTAATTTGATTGAATTAATCAATTTATCAAAAAAGTGATTTATTCGACTTAAAATGTCAACTCAAATTTGGACTTTATATTTAGTTAATGAGGTAATAGTAGACTAATATCGTGGAGATTTATTATATCAATAGCAGTAGATTTACCAGAGGGAGATTTTGTACAAAAGTCGATTGCTTGGGTACCTCTGTCCCATTCGTGTTTCTACCGTGAAGCAGTTGTGTTTGCATGGCTGTGTTACGGTTTGAAGGATGGGATATGGCGTGAATTTACAGGGTACAGAGAAATAACATCTGAGTCCTCAGAAACGACAACGCATGGAGGGTATCATGGGCGAAACAGTATACTTTATTATGTCCATGGTACTGCTCATGTCTATAGGCGACGGTTACCATTTTCCATCAGGTGGACCGTCAGCTTGTTTGCCATTCTTAGTTCTATAAAAAAAAAGATTAAAAAAAATATGACGATTTAAAAGTGCTTGTAAAGAAGTCTATTTGATTAAAGACAATTTAAATTTGAATTTGAATATGTGACAGTTTTGCAGATAAAATGAAGTTACTCTGCAAATTGGTACTAAAAATATACTAAGCATAGACAAAATGGGCCAGTTTATAGACACGGGATTTAAATCCGTCAAGTTTTTACAAACCTGCTGGACTCTTATTTTAAGTAAAGAGATGCACGGCCACCATTGGGACATTATAGATTGATGATAACAATGACTTTTTTTATGTTTAGATGAATTACTTCTCCGGCGTTTCCTATCAAGCTGCGGGTACAGCTTGGAGAGCACCAAACGTACCATCGACTTGTTCTTCACGATACGCTCCAATGCGCCAGAGATATTCTTCAACCGGGACCCTTGGGCGCCGGAGATCAGACGTGTCTTTGAGATCACGTATGTACAGATGCATTAGTTATTGCTTTTAGTTACATTTTGACTTGACATGATTGATAACTTTGCGTTCTAACGGTTTAACATATCGCCGCACTTTCCGATGGGCGTGGATTCAATACCCGCACAATACAAACATTTGTTTACACGAGTACCTGTAACTATTTATATTGATCTAGGTGTTTTCTATGTATATATATGCATTATCCATAAATATCTATATATATATATATATATATATATATATATATATATATATATATACTCTTGCAAATCACCACAAAAACATCCAATATATATATCCCTTTAAAATTTGTAATAAAGCAATAAAAATAAAATTAAAATTACACCCATATTACTATAGCCGAGGATATATATATATATATATATATATATATATACATACATACATACATACATATACTGTATATATATATATATATATATACATAAAACATACAGCAAAAGCAGGGTTGTTTGTCTGTTTCTTATTATTTACCGCTTTATCATGAAATTTATAGTATACACATATAGTATACGGAAAGTTCGTATAAAAGTGTTCTGGAATGGTGGGGAGGCCAGGTAAGCGCAGGACCCCTTCCTTATGTCCCTAACAATGCTTCAGTTCTGGTCTGAACCCCGTCGGCATGGAGCCCGCTTCCGTTGAAGAGCAGCGCGTCGTAATCAAGTTTCTCTCGAAACTCGGCAAGAATGGCCGTGAAATTTTTGCCGATCTAATTCGATAAGACATCCGGGGAACCACGAACAAAAAAATCAAGAAAATCCCGCTCAAATGTCAAGACAATGTTGATTGTTTTTTTCGATGTTCGGGGGATTGTCCATCAATAAACAATGCAGCAAATGAAGTCGCTAGTAAAATTGATATATATAGATAAATCTAGTTAGAGAATTTGTATGTCTACGAGTAAATAATATTATAATATTCGAAGTCATTCAGCCATTCAAATAACAAACATCTTGATGTCTATATAAATATGGGAAACTAATGAATGTTTTTGTAGTTTGAGCAAAAAACACAAGTTCATTATTCTCCCGTATTTATATAGACATTGAATAAAAATTAACATAAGTTTTAAAAACAAATACCTTTACATTTACTAGTATTTATAATAGAAGGTATATTGGGGGAAAAGGGATTGTTAGCGGTGGAGACTGAGAATCCCATTGCAAACAATATACCCGGCCGGGTCGATCTCCTCGCGGTTTCCCCTGGAAACTGTCATGATTAATTCCTGGTGAATTCATCATGATGGGCTAACTGGCCTGTTTTCATACTCATCGGTCACCCTTCACTGGTGCCCCGCCTGCGTATCCTGTGGGCACAGGCGGGGTTGCCACTCCATTTTCATGCAAAAAAAAAATAGAAGGTATATTATCCTAATAAACTTGTAAAATATTCATATATTCATGTTCATTACAGTATTACAGCATTTACTTATAGTGCATACAGCTGGGTAACACTAAACAAGTTTTATTTTACAATACAGTTTCGCGTTCGATTTCACTAATTAAAGTGAAAGGAATAATACACACTTCGGTGCATTGTAGTTTGGTCGTATGATTTTTTTCTTTAGACAACACTGAGGCGTCGTGATCGCGGTCTTTTTTCATGGTTTTTTTTTATATAAAAAGCAATATGAAAAATATGTTGTTTTTATATAATTATATAAATCAAATTGTGTTTCATATAAAAAAAAACTTCAATTGTGGCAAACAAGTTATTATATTTTGATTTCAAAGCTAAGCTATTAAACCGATTTTGATAAAAAGTTTATAAGACCAATCTGTAAGTATGAGTATAATCTTTTAGATAAAAAAAAAAAAAACAATATTATGAGGTAACAAATATAAAAAAATCTATCTAATTGATAACCTCTTTCTTTTTAAAGTTGTTTGAAAATGGAAACAGTAAAGTTATAATATAGCGAAATAATTACTACACCTAGTATTTAAAAAAAAAACTATTTATTAATAATATTTGTCTATTGGCTGCATTATTGTTATCAATCACACTTTATAGTTTTTTTTTTATACAACTTAGAATGGCAAACTAGCTGACGGCCCACCTGATGGAAAGTGGTAACCGTCGCCTATAGACATGAGCAGTACCATGGACATAACAGAGTATACTGTTTCGCCCATGATAACTCCCATGCGTTGCCATTCCTGAAGACTCAGGTGTTATTCCACTGTACCCTGTAAATTCACGCCATATCCCACCCTTCAAACCGAAACACAGCCTTGCAAATACAACTGCTTCACGGTTGAAACACGAATGGGACAGAGGTACCCAAGCAAACGACTTTTGTACAAAGTCTCTCTCTGGTTTATATTAACTCCGTCAATTTACATGAATTATCTCGCCTAAGTTATCGCATTAATTCTCGTTTCATATAAACCATAAAATATGCAGCATGAAAGTTTAAAGTTAATATCAGACACACTTAAATGTATGAACGGACTTGAATGAAAATTGGGAAACATGTGGACCATGAGCTTCTATTAACGCGTACTCGTATTTCGACTTACTTACATATTTTTTTATTCGGTTCAGTATTAAATATTGTAGCTTATTAAGATTTTACAGAGAATAAAAAAAACATAGAATAATCCTGATTATTTTCTTTCAGAGACTTCATACCTCTTCCAAAAAAGACGAGTGAAAACTATAAAGTTTTCATTTTCAAGTTGAACAATCCTGATATGGATTTGTTCAACTTTGTGGATGCTGTGAAGACTTTCTTCATGCTAGCAGACACCAGACTCACGGAGGAGGACGATATTCCCGCAGGAGAGATACCTATCTTCGACTCATCCAATGTATCGCTCAAGTTCATCCCGAAAATCAACCTATCTGTACTAAGGAAGTACATGTTGTACACACAGGTTAGTGTGACCAATAAATAGAATTCTTCTTTTCATATTTATAAACACATCAAGGGTAAAGCCCTTGAAAAAAGAAGGTACTTTTAGCGCCATATTTACCTACTTGAGCATGTTTTGACCTTAGAATAAAAGGTTACTGGCACATTAGTGTTTATTATTCTAAACTTGCTGTATCTTGTAGCTTTTCGTACGTGAATCAATATATAAAGTAGTCTATGTGCTAAATTAGGATAACCTATTCGTGTACGAAATTTCATTCAAAATCATTCAATAGTTTTTGCGTGAAAGAGTAACAAACATCTATTCATCTATCCGTCCGTCCATCCTTAGAAGCATTTATTATATTAACAGGACTGTGCATCCCCTTATTCTATAATTAAAATTGATATTCACTAAATATATAGCATAAACTACCGATATACATATAATAATTATATTTAATTTTATCAAAAAGAAGTTTTAATGACTCATTCAATTAACATTTATTCTTTTTAAGTTTTAAATTTTGCGTATCTTATTATGGCGAAATTTAAGGACTTATATCTATTGTTAAGATCTATACACTCACCATGTTTCTTGTAAATAAATAAATAAAATAAATAAGAGATCCAATCGCCAATATATTATCTGTAACTTTATATAGGTACAAGTAAAAGTACTGTAGTTTAAGGACTTGATGCCTGATGTCTTAGGTTGTGCCTTATTTTATTTTTATCTGTCTACTACTCGTACTTACTCAAAAAGTGTGTTCTAAATACCTATATTTGTTTATAAGGTATCATCCACATGAAAATCCAGTATGCCATTCAAATGATTTCAATAATTTCCTGTCAAAAACAAACCAAACGTTAAATATAACAGTTTCCTATCGAGTGTTTGGTAATGTAGGATTAGGTGATATCCATGTAATTTGATTCTGAAACTTATTGCTTTAGCGTAAAATTGAAATTGCATGTTCGGCTTGCGTGCTCGGCTTCTGAAACAGTGTGTCTACACGTCCGTCTGTCCATGTCAGGACTAGTTTCATGATAAATAGTGCGAGACTTACGACCTATAGTTACTTAAACTGGGGTTATATGTGTGAAGCTAGTATTGGCTAAGTTAAAAGAAAAAGAAGTTTATCTATCTATACTTTTATGCCACATTTACGGAACGCACACACTACTGCAGGATCAGTAAAATACAAACAAATTGTAGTTATATTTTAGAACGTGTTAAAGATAATGTAGTGACAAAAATGGAAAGGGGAATGATGCGTTAATTCGGTCATTTGAAGAGGATGGATGGAAGAAAGATTACGAAAGAGATTTATCGAGCACGAATAAATGGAGGTTTCGGTAGAAGCTGCTCTTAATGGATGTATGTTGACCAAATAGGCGACATGCTGAAAAAAGGCCCAATTAAAAATATCCATAACCGGCGAGCGTGTATGAAAAGATTGATGAATGTGGAAGAAGCGAAAAAGGTTTTTTAGAATTGAAAAATCTGGCGTTCTATTCTTTCTGCCTACCTTAAGGGAGATAGGCATAACAGATTTGTATGTATGTATATTCTTATATTTATAAACCATATAGTAATTATATTATATAGAAACTCAACAAAATATATGAATTAAGGTTTTTTCATGGGTGAAAATGGAACGGTAACCCAGTCTGCGCTATCAGTATGCTACGGCGAGGTACTAATTAGATATGATAGGTGAGGATGAAAATAGTTCTGTTGACCCATCGTGATCACCGATAATTATCCACGATACTCTCCAGAGGGAACCAGGTAGAAGTTGACCTGATAGAGTACAACTTTACGGGACCGGGGGGAAAGGGATTGTTAGCAATGGAGTTCGACATTGCTAGCAATATGCCCTATCAGGTCGATCTCCATGTGGTTCCCCCTGGAAACCATCGTGAACAATTCTTGTTGAATTCGTCACGATGGGCTAACTGACTTGCTTCATCCTCATCTATCATCCCTCACTGGTGCCCCGCCGGTGTATACTAATAGCGCGGGTAGGGTTACCATTCCATTATCACCCATTAAAAAAAAGACTTTAGGAGACCTGGTAAGGATATTACTAACAATGGGGCTGTTAGATCTCGTTACTAACAATACTTTTCCTTCGATACGAAATAAGCTAGAAACATGAGGTGAAGAAGTAAGGTGTGCAAAAGGATATACTAGGATTTTATTTTTCGTTGTTCATATAGTAATTATAAGGTAAAAAATAAATTACAACACAAGTTTGTGAGAGGGTAAAAGTTAATGAAATTGTATCAATGCGGAGAATGTTTTTTAACATTTTGATAAAAATTTAATTTTTGGTCGTATGGCAACCCTGATTCAAAATATAGTAACAGCTACCCAATAATAATTAATATGATATCCACCATTACATTCTACTATCGTACTATTCGCAATCGACATTCCTTCACCTTCGGACTTAATCGCCAACAGTTTCAAAGGAATTCTCACTCAAGCTTGCACAGATTGCAAAATGACCTATCGAGGTTTTACTTAGAGATTTATAGAATTATAATATGATTTCTTTAAACTCGGCAAAGTACACACTCATATATAGCAATTTGTTGTATCTATCTACATTATTACCATTGTTATTATAAGAATATTTTTTGTTTAGGTAAATTTATTTACAAGTATTTTTTACTAGTAACTCTTTTATAATTTTACCACCTGATCGGAATACAATTTCAAATAAGAAATATGGACAGATAACTCATTTGTTGTTTTTTTCAACAAAACTGATTTTACGATTATAAATTTATGCCAATACAGACAAAAAATAATAAGTTAATAGTTAAATGAAGTCCATCATTGTAAATTTATATTGAATTAAATATCCTAAGAAAATATATACAAATATAAGACAGACCTAACTCGTAATATAGAAAATAAGTTTTAATATGAAATAAAATAGCTACCATTTAGGTACATTTTTAAATATCATTTGTAGACAGAATTAAAAATTGTAAATGAGAAGCTAAAAAGCAATTCAAAGCAATTCATTTAGTACCTAAATATTACAATGAAAGGATTGGTTTCAGTAATAAAAGCCGCCCGTTGCTTATATACAAATTGTGTACATTTATATAAGAGTGTTATTTACAAATTGATGTATGTGCGTTTAAATAAAAACAATTTTATTCTCTCTTTCTCCAGCCATAACTAGTATAAAGCAACTTTCACATATACAAAAATTCGAAGGTCGTAATATAAAATAATAATAACCTTTATGATGTAAGATTAACACACCATCTCACCTTTCCATGGTCGCAGTTTCCATTCAGTATATACATATATATTTGTATTCATGAATATATCTATAATAAATATGTTTTAAAAAAGTATTTAAGTGCATTTATCTGTTGTCTAGTACCCATAATATAAATTAGAGATGAGTAATATTTAGCAATATCTATATATATATATTTTTTTTGATGCATGAAAATGGAATGGTAACCCCCTGCCTGCGCTAACGGGATACGCTAGCGGAGCACCAGTGAAGGGTGATCGATGAGAATGTAAACAGGCCCGTTAGCCCATCATGATGAATTCATCAGAGTTACGTTAGTACAATTAAATAATATGGGAACGAAATAAATAAATAAAATAATAATACAAAACAACAATTGGATAAATAGTGTAATTAGAGAGATAACCCTGAATGTGAAGATTTGTTTATATTTCGATCACAAACACGTTCTTTGAAATTATGACTCAACTCTAAGGAACGGTAAAACCAGTTACGTAAGAAAACAATTTACTATTATAACCTGTGAAATAAAAACAAACAAGATTATTTTAGGGTTCTGTAATTAGATATTATAAATATTATTATTATCCCTTATTAATATTATAAACGCGAAAGTGAGTTTTTTTGTTACCTTTTAGCGTCTTAAAGGCTTAAACGGATTGTAATGAAAAAAAGACTATTTTAAAATGCTTAAATCTAAGTTTACTTCAATAAAAATATTTCTTTCTTTCTTTCTAAATAATCACTGTGGAACTGCATGTTCTGCATGAAATTTAAAAGATCGTAGGAAACTTTTTTTATACCAGTCAGTGAATTTATGCCGATCAAGTGGACAAAGTTGAAACTAAAAGCTATTAAAATAATAAATTTTTAATTTTAAGAACAAGAGTGTTAGGTGCGTATTTTTGAGATGTACGGATTAATAATTGTAATTTTGTTAAAATGAAACTCAAATATAGATACAGTCATAAAGACTTCAGTTTTTATATTTTTTGTTTTTTTTTTATACTCGTATTTAATTTTTTTCTTTATAATTTTTTAACTAATAGTGTGTACATTTTTAGTATCATCACGTAATATAGCCAACATATTTTAACATTGATTGATGACAATGATGATGATGATGAAGATTTTAACATTCACTGTCTGAAATACAAAAAAAAATCAACAATTAAAAGTAAAATAAAAGAATGGACACTTCTATGTACTCGTAAGTAGAATCGTGTGTTCATACCTTTAAAAGAGACAAGGGTCATTGCACTAAAAATACCGTATGCGACTCATTATTTTATTACGTATGCATTCTGATAACTGATATGTCATTTCGAAACAAACCGGTTTCAGAAACTCGAATTGTATTTTCACCGACGAGCCGTCTACTTTATAAATTACTTACTAATATTATAAATGTATAATTAATCTATGTTTATATGTTTCTTTGTTACCTCTTGACATCTTAACGTTTAACAAATCTTTATAAAATTTGCTAGATATACATATAGTATTGGGGATAGAGTAGGACATACAGGTAACTTGTTATCAATGAATTAATTAAAATAAATCATGTCAATCAATATCACGGTCTCGCAGATGAAGTTGGAGGTAAAAAAAGTTGAAAAAAAAAAATATTTGTTAATTTTAAACTTTTATGTTGTTGCCATTTATTTCAAATATACTATCAGAGAGCCTACCATGAAATATATTCCGAAATTTCGGGGACGAACGAAATAGAAATTTGATGTTAAAATTACATAATACATGCCGTTTAAAATTATTAAAAATATTAAAATATCGTTCCTCTGGACTATTAGGATAGGATTTATGATGAATGAAACGTTAAGCTCCATTTACTGGATCGATTTATGTACGAACAAAAATACGAAATTAAGCCCGAAAATTCAAAATTTCATTTCATGGTAGGCCCGCAAGACTTAACACGACTCGATTGCAGGTAAATAGTACCTACATACCTAATTTTTATTGCCAACGGTATTCATTTGCAATCGCGTCGCGATAAGTTCTGACAGTTTATTTATTTATTTACCACTGAGCTGGCAAACAAGTATACGCCTCACCTGATGGTAAGCGGTTACCGTAGCCTATGAACACGTGCAAAACCAGAGGAATTACGCGCGCGTTGTCGACTAAAACAAAATATTGCTGTGCCATTAAAAAAGATTTCTCTTTTTTAGTTTTTAGCCACTTTCTATTAGCGCATAAGAGATTGTTACTAATGATAAGGCCGCATTTTCAACCAAAAAAGGAAAACTTTCTCAAATCGGTTGTATTTTTTTATATTCCTTGCTTTATAATTCTGTCATTTATAAACCGATTTGGAAAACTCTTTTTTTCCGAAAGGATGGTAGTAGTTTAATTTTAAAGTCAAACTAATTAATTAGTTCACTGATCTTTTGTTATTGTTTATATTCTTAGTATGATTAACAAGATATTCATATATATATATATATATATATATATATATATATATATATATATATATATATATATATATAATAATAATATAATAATAATAATAATAAATCTCTTTATTTTCAGGTATATACCCATAGTTAACATTTTTATATTATTAATTAAATAAATTGTTATTATTATTTTTAAAATATACATCAATTATAAAATACCAATTTAAATTATTTCGTTATAAAATCTCTTGTCGTCAGGTATGCTGTGAGAAATACAGTCTTTACAATATTATTACTTGTTGTCATTAATCTGTCATGAAATTTTGCCTTATAATTACGTAAAATAGCAAAAAAATCATTAACCCTGTTCTCTGCAAACATGCCAGACGCACTACACCGCCATGGCAAGTTGAGCATCGCTCGGAATGCGTTATTGTATTGCACACGCAGTGTGTTATAAGCCCTTTTCGTATAACTATACCATAACTGGCTGGTGTAGAAAGCCTGACAATAAGACTTAAACAATGTCAATTTGACTAGCTTCGAACAGTGGTTAAATCGTCTAGCCAGCATATTGCTTCTACATGCAATGTTACGCCTTTGTCTCTCCAGATCGCTATCATCTTTCAGATCTTCTGTCAACATATGTCCAAGATATTTAAATTTATTAACTATTTTTAAAGTATTCCCACATAAATTAATTTTTGGCAAAATTTCAGGTCCCTTTCCATATTTAAAAATAATAATTTCCGATTTATTGACATTATATGTTAAATGATGTATCTTTGCATATTGTTCACATATTTCAATTAGTTTTCTAAGACCATTGGCTGACGGACTCAGCAAGACCATGTCGTCCGCATAACTGATATTATTTAGGCTTACACCACCGATATGGCAGCCAACTCTAGTCCCACTGAGTCGGCCAATCAAATCATTGATATATAAATTAAACAGAACAGGTGAGGTCAGCCCACCTTGTCTAACTCCACATGTAAGTTTGTAGCTCTCCGACAACACGTTACCCCATCTAATTTGATTTAACTGGTTTTCGTACCAAAATTATATATTTGTAATATTAGGTGGAACTCTTGTCTCACGCAATTTATTCCAAAGCAAATTATAGTTAACTGTATCAAAAGCACGGCTGATGTCCAAAAAACAAGCATAAACAGAAGTTTTTCTGGATATGTATTGTCTTACAGTATTTTTCAATGAAAAAATAGCCAAATCCGTAGCCAGTCCCTTACGAAAACCGAATTGTGCATTATTTAGTGGTAGGAAGTCCTCTGAAAGGTATTTGTTAATTATGCGCTCAAATAATCTAGAAATAATAGTGGCTAATGAGATAGGACGATAATTTGTAATACTAGAGACATCACCCGTTCTGTTCTTTACAATAGGTATTACAATAGTCCTCATAAAGTCTCTTGGCAGGTAGCCATGATCCATACATGCATTGAAGAATAAGGCAATTTTCTCAAACAATAATGGGCTAGCATATAATAAGTGTTCAACGCTAAGTCCGTCGTGCCCAGGGGATTTGCCACGCTTCATATCCCTCACACATTTTAAAATATCCTTCCCTGTAACGTGGAGGGCGCTAGTGTTGTTGGACTGCGATGAGCAAGAAGAGTCCGAACCACTACCGGTCGCTTTCTCGTTATTAGATTTGTTCGATGACAAATTAAATTTATCCATAAACATCTTTGCTATACATTCTGGATCCTGGCTACCGTTTACAGATACTGGTAGACTAGATTTAAGGTTCAATTTATTAGTTTCCTTCCAAAAATTAACAAAATCTTTATTATACCTATGCGTGGCAATTATGTCCATTTTAATTTGGTTTTCATTATGCTGACACCACCTTAGCCTATTTTTAAATACCTTACGACTTTCAATCATATTCTCATACAATTTACCCTGTGACGGGCGTCCATACAAATTCCATGTATTATAAAATTTCCTAGCCACCAAATGAAATTTTTTGACATGATAATTCCATCCAATAACTTGTTTCTTTTTAAATAACGTATTTCTGCCTAAAAATGAACCAGTAGCCGCCCTAACAATGCTACTAACTATCTGATTGTAGTAAACATCAATCATTTCACAGTGTTCCTTACTTCTACAGGAGGAATCAGTGCATGAAATAGTTGACCATTCAAATGAGTTAATGTGTTGATCACATAATTTTTCATACCTTTCTATTTGCTCAGGGCTACGGTTACCCCAGATAGCCTTATTAATCTTTTTTAGGTTATGACTAGTTTTTGTGACAATAGCATCAATATCACATTCAATTACAAGAGGACAGTGATCAGACCAATATACGTCCTTTAACACATAAATATTACTAATAATTTTAAGTCCAGAGTTAGTAACAATACAATGGTCAATCCAACTGGTAGTGCCATGAGCATCACTCAAATATGTATAAGTATCTGATAACATACCCAAGTAGTCCACATCCGCACATAACCAGTCCTGGTCACGACAGTATTCAAGTAGCTCACTGCCAAATAAGCTATTTACACGCGACACATCTGCGTTAAAATCACCTAGCACTAATACACTTTCTACATCGTTATTTGCAATCACCGCACTAATTACCGCTAAACATTCCGTAAATATAGGCAAGTTATCTGGTTCTTCAGTAGGCATATAAACCGACACTATAATAAAGGTACGCCCAGTCGGCGTTTCAATATGTACAGCTGCTACGCGCGTCGATCCCGTGTCCAATGGGGTAACATCCGTAAACAGGGTTTTCCTCCATAATATTGCTACACCTCCGTAAGGACGACCTTTAAGGTATATAATGTATAACGGGTAAGATAAACATCACTTTTAAAAATAATATGTTTTTAATGGGAGGATACTGTTTTATTTACTTCTTAATTTTATCGATATTTGACGATTTGTTTCCATAAGATTAAGAGTTTGACCAAACTCGACTTCAATAATATTTAAATATACTATTTTTATGATATTATTTCAATATTTGTGTATAATGACGTAAAATGAAGACGTATTCTTTTTAAAGTAGCTTGGGTCGCTTTGAACCGATTTTGATAACTCTTTATTCAAATGATGAAGTATATTTCCCTATTTTTGTCACAATTCAAGTCATAATTTTTTACGGAGAAAACCTCAAAGTATCTATTACATAATAATTAATAAATCCTTACTAATTATAATGTGAAAATGAGTTTGTTTGTTACTTTATAGCGCCTTAACGGCTTAACCAATTACTAGGAAATTTGGTATACACATATAGGACAAGATGGAGAAGGATATAGACTACTTTTTATCTCGTTCAGGTGTTATAAAAGTTAGTTAGAATAATAAATAGTAATGGTAATATAATTATAGCCGTGTTGGTCCATAGGCCATTCCTTTCTTGACGTGGGTGTCGTAAGAAGCAACTAAGGAAGATTATGATATACGGATGGGCAGCAACGGCCCTCTTAAAACATCAGCACTGATGTTTTATTACTGATGTTTTATCACCAAAAGCTAAACTGCGGTTGTCGAACCGGCTGCCAAGTGTAGCAAAACAAAACTTCTGGCAAAATCTCCCTCGTGGGGGAGGCTATGTTCAGCAGTGGACAGTTTACGGCTGTTACAACAAATGGTAATTATTATTTTCAGGAGGCTATCCCGATCCGGCTAAAACAAGTTCACGTAATCAACGCACCGGCGTACATCAGCAAGATACATGCCATATGCAAACCTTTCCTCAAGACAGAAGTGGCTAAACTGGTGATAAAAATATATAATTTTTTTTTATTATTTAAGTTTTTTCTATATTTATATTCAATAAATATTTTGCATTTAAATAATACATCCAATTATGAAATAATACGTTGACCTTAAACTTAATGGTCGTCTTGACCATGATGGAAACTTGCGTAACAATGTTTCTGCAAAAAAAGCACGAGTATGTACAGTCGCGTCAAAAAACGATGAACCACTATAGATTTTTCAAAACTGAAAAATATGTTGTGTACATAAGTATAAATAGTTAAATATATATAATAGTATATGTATGTTATAGATTTTAGGTATGTAGAAAATCTTAATTTTTTTATCGACTTTTTATGTTAACTGTACATTTTTGCCATTTGACATCATTCATTTGTCATACATTCTACAATATTCTGTAACCATAGTCTCTAAAAGATATTTGACACATTGACTATGTGACAAATTATCTGTCCGTTATACCCATAGACAAATTGTATTTCTTTTTAAATGGATATTAATGCTACTTGCGTTAACGATATACACTGGTGAGGTACCAGTGATGAAATAATAGGTGAAGATGAAAAAGCTGTTCAGTTAACCTATCGTGAAGTCTTGAGCACGATAATTTCCAGTGGGAACCGCGAGGAGGTCGATCTAACAGAGTATATTGCTAGTAATATGACTACTAATCCCCATTACTAACAATCCCCTTCTCTCCTGACGTATTAAGTTAGATAGGTACCTAACTATATTCATGGCAATTAGCTAATAATTTTTTTTTATACAACTTAGAATGGCAAACAAGCTGACGGCCCACCTGATGGAAAGTGGTAACCGTCGCCTATAGACATGAGCAGTACCATGGACATAATAGAGTATACTGTTTCGCCGATGATACCCCCCGTGCGTTGCCAATCCTGAGGACTCAGGTGTTATTCCTCTGTACCCAGTAAATTCACGCTATATCCCACCCTTCAAACCGAAACACAGTTATGCAAACACAACTGCTTCACGGTTGAAACACGAATGGGACGGAGGTACCCAAGCAATCGACTTTTGTACAAAGTCTCCCTCTGGTAAAATAATACTAGTAAAAAAACAATCAATTATCTTTTATTGCTTTTAGTTAGGACTGGTTACGACTTCTTGCGTTCTAACACTGCTACGATAAAAAAATATTTGTTTCCTTTTACTAGGAGTACATAATATATAAGGAACAACCTTCATCTATGGGTACATATAAATAATATTAACAATAGGTAATTGAGCAGACCACAAAAAAACACGTGTATGTATATGTATAATTATTATACTGTAATTATCAAATTTGAGACGGAATCAACAGGTATTACTACAATCGTCTTCACTAATGAGGCATAATAGGTGAGGATGAAAAGAGGATCTACCATGAAATTTCGCATTTTCGGACTCAATTTCGTGTTTTTGTTCTTACCGAAATCGGCCCAGTAAATGGAGCTTAACATTTCGTTCGTCATAAATTATAACGTAATAATCCAAAGGAATGATATTTTAATATTTTTAACGGTATGTATTATCTAATTTTAACATCAAATTTGTATTTCTTTCGGCCACGAAATTTTGAAAAATGTTTCATGGTAGGCTCTCAGGTCAGTTGGCTTACCATGATGAATTTATAAAAAACTAACCACGATGATTTTGCAAGACAACGTTGTGGATGGCTACCTAATAGGACATATTACTAGCAACGGAGCTGTTAGTTCCTGTTACTAATAATCCCATCCCTCGTTGTAATAAGCTTAGGTTATAGATATCCACGGTGCAGTTCATGTTTATAAGGCTATCAGTGTATTTGCTATACAAAACATTAAAAAAAAAAAATTAGGTTCCAATCGAAACGTCTATTCAATATTTAGATTTAATCCCAATTACATCAACAGACAAGCCGTCGCTTTTACTAGTTAATCAGACTTTATTTAAGTACCTACCCAGCGTAAGTTTATTAAGTATAATATATTTTTAAACTATATGTGACTGTACTAACTCTCGATATCTATTTATGATATTCCAAACCATGTGCTTTATACTATAAAGATACAGTATTTTTTTTTTATTATAAATAGCAAGGTTTCTTTAAAGCATCGTGCATCATATGCGCGTAACGGGTCAATCGCTAGAGCATGGCTTTTTTATGCTATGTTTATTTAAAGATATATATTTTTTCTATTCATGACAATAATATAACTTTATTTTGTTATTCACAGATAAAATTCCACGAGCCAAACTCTGAGACGCTATACAAGGATATCCCTCAGGAGATTCTGCCTGACGAATATGGCGGTAAAGCTGGTAACCTGGAACAGATCAAACGGTATTGGATCAAACGAATCGAAGCAAAGAGGTAAATTCTGTAAACGTTTGTAAAGATGTTTGGATGTTTAGACGTTCGTTGGTTTTTTTTTTCATATCACAAAGGTGGCAACAACAACAAACATACAACCTGTCTGATGGTAAACGATCACTGTAGCTTATGTACGCCTGCAACACTAGGGGTGTCACTTGCACCTTGTCGACACTCAGGAAACCTTAATACACCCCTTTTAAAGAACTCCATACGGTAGTCTCTAGAAAAAACCTTGGCTCGGAGCTCCTTCCACAGCCTTTGTGTTCACGGGAGAAGACTCCTCCAAAATCGCACTGTACGCGACTATTTCTAATTCTAGCTTTTGAGCATGAATTGGTATGTTTATTACTCAATATCGCTTAAACGGCTGAACGAATTTAAATTGAATTTGGTGCCTTAGTAGGTTACACCTCAATTTAATAGGCAGTTTACATCTATTTATCTTCACATTGCGGGGTAGGCAAAGGAAACCGTGTGCTAAACACATTATACATGCACTTTCTTTACTAGTCTTATCCATGTACATTGTTGACTCCTCCTTTAGATAGATCACAGTCTATCTAATCATAATGGTTTAGTCTAGGTCTCCCTCAGTATCTAGATCCATCCACTTTTGCGTTTTATGTTAATTTAATTTCATCTAACATTCATTCCTCGTGCCAGAACCAACAATAGATGGGGGGGGGGATTGTTAATAATAGAGTCTAACAGCCTCATTGCTAGCATTACACCCTATCAGGTCGACCTTCACGCGGTTCCCCCTGGAATTCATCGTGATTAATGTTATATTTGTTAGATTTGTCACAATGGGTCAATTGAACTGTTTTCATACTCATCAATCCTCTCTCTGATGCTCCGTCACCATATTATATTTTCAATAAGATTCTCTATTTTCACCCAAAAAAAAATGCCAAAAATAGCTCACGCAGCTTTTTTATATTGTAACTTTTATCTAATATCTATATACATATATAAAGGAAAATTAACCAACTCCTTGTGTTTTGCTGTTAGTCTTCTTCAGGGGCGTTCGGTGCTTTTATTTAATTCGGGCTTTTTTCACAAACCAAACATACTATTTATATTAAAAAGTATACTTATTCTTATATTAATATTATAAATGATTACGTCAATAAAATCACAAAGTGCATTGTGCAAAATAAATATATCTACCAATCGATTATTACCTGTAAAGGCGAAATCTTATGCGAGTGACTGCGAAATCAATGCATTTACAAGTACCTATAAAATGTTGCAAGAAAGTGAAATGTCTGTGTAGCCATTGCTTAATTGCTTTATAGGATAGGTATATTTTATAGTCATTATACATACGCTCTGTAGAAATTTGTATGAGGTCATGCAAAAGGTATATTTTGCGTGATTCTGCGTGCTAATATCGCAAAATGTATAAGATTGAACGCTCGAGGCGATTATAAAAAATTGAGGCCAAGAAGCGAGATTCCAGTATGCCTTGACGTTCTGTCGTTGCACCTTTAAAGGAGATGTAAGAAAACTCAACAGGAAAATGTTTTATATTGCTTAAAACTTCATACATATATATAATATTATGAGACTTTATTTTTTTATTATTATATCAGCCGTTATCTGTTCTTTGCTGGACATAAGCCTCCTCCATAAGGGGGGGGGGAGGGTTTGACAGTAGTTATCATGCTTGGCAGGTATAAGTTGGCAACCGCAGTTAGGCTTTGGTGATGTTTTAAGAGAGACGTTACTGCCCATACTTCCTTCATTAATAAAGTTTCTTAATGAGGCATCGTAAAAAGCTGAAAGAATATTTTTTTTTTAGCCAACCTGTTTTTTTATTAATAAAATTACAGATATATCTTAATATCTAAAATTATGTAATCTTATTTTACTACAATAATTTAATAAAATTATAATATAATAAAATAGAGTAGACGAAATTGCCGTTACATTTTCAACCATTAAAAAAGAGAATTCCTTAATTTAGTATAAACACATCATGAAAATCTTGTTCATAAATATATTAATTACAATTTTTTTTTAACCATTTAATAATTATAAAATACATTATTTTTTGTGTATTGTATTTCCAGAGATTGGTTTTTGAGCAACGACAAGCGTTGGGCGGTAGACGAGACCCTCCGGCCGAACAACTGCCGAGACGATCGCGCGGACAAGGTGCGCGATTTGCCAGGATCCTTCCGCACCCTCGCTCTTGATTAGTAATCATAATGTTAGGCCACTACCGATCTAAGAGCTGAATATCGTTTTTAAAGAAGTTCAGCTTTCCTAGACAAATGACAAACGAATCTATCGAATGTCGTTATCGCTAGCGAGTCCGTGGGATAAAATGAGATGACGATATTCGGCATCTCGTTCTGTCTCATGCGAGTCCTAACCTAAACAATTTTATTGAGAAATTCGTTTGTGTGGCGGCATTAACTCTACGAGATTCTTGACTTGTGCAACATGTTATACGCCTCTCAATAGGCACATCTAAAGAAAAATGATCGAGTAAAATGATATCTATCCACATGTGAAAAGTGGCATCACTGTAAATGTACATAATTCGTTTTTTAAACTAAATCATAGTATTTTTTTTACACAAAAATCGACTTTAATTTCCATAAAATTTGAAAAGTTGTGTTTTATACTAATTTTGTCGAAAAGGTAAGTTGTTTGATTCTGAAAATACTAAGATGCTTTCATTTATTATACAAAAGAACTTTCCATTTACGTTATATAAAATATGTTCACTGTTGGCGATGATAAGGTAATTTAGTGCTGATTTCTATTTTGTCGGATAAAAATGATCATATAAAAAAAAATCAAATATATTGTAAGTCTAAGGTTTCAAATAAAGTACTTACCTATACCATAACTATGCTGGTAAATAGGTTATTAAATAATGTTGTATTTTTTGTATGCATATTACTTGCTTATTTGTATTAATAACTAGAGTGAAGTTCATAAAAGATTGGAAACACTGCCTTATAATGAGATAGATAAGTATGGAGATTATATGAGCGTTGCTAATGGCATAAAATCAAAATTATAAGCCTATTACATTTTGGAATTATTATTATAACAGATGTGTATGTATATGTATGTAATTTTTGGTGTAATGGCTGCTTCGCTTGGGTATATTGTATCTTGTTTTTAATTAATGACAAAATTATTTTATTACTTGATCTATTAGATAGAACAAAGAGAAAAAATATTTTGTCTGTATATTGTTTGGCAAGTTGTGCTTTTAGGCATGTTTTTTTTTCTATTACCTATACTGATATAAAACTGAGCTAAAGTTTAAATAAACTTTGAGAATTCGTTTAATATTTTAGCCAAAATTAAAGGCTAGAATTTGCTTTTTTTTTAACATTGTATAAATTATTAGTACCATAGCAGGTCTGTTGTGTATTTTGATTGTGACTTTGACAGTACAGTACTGTACAGACAGAAATGAGAGCGCAATGAAACGATGTCATTTCTAAGACAATTGTTTTAATATTTGATCTATATACAAGATGGGAACAAAAATATTGACTATTTCTAAATTTGAGATTACTCTCAGATTTACTATAAACAGGTTTAATTATAAGAATAAATAATCTAGAAATAAAATCTAGTCTTTATTCTTACGGTATAATTTAAACATGTTTAGAGTAAACAAAATCATTTTAGCATCATGTTAAAAAAATATTTTACTAAGAAAAATAGTAGATTTTTTTTTTATTATTTAGCAAAAAGTTTTTATTCTGTATATATTAGATATTTAATATAGGTATTGTGGGTGTTAAGAATAAAAATAGACTGTTATAAGTAAAATAAAAAAAGTATATTTTCCCAATTCTTCCATGAAAGCAAATAGTTTTCATAGTGTTAATAATATTATATACATAACTACTTTTTTCATTATATAAATCTAAGATAGTGTATGTAACTACATAGGTAATTATTATCATTGTTGAAGTTGATCCCGTTATACGATACAATGTAAATAATTTATTAAAATTATAATTGTCATTTGACTTTTATTTTATCATTATTATTCATAAAATATAATTATTTAATCTACTTAACAAATACTACGGAATTTAAGGGTACGTCGAAATTAAAAATTGATAGAAATACCAAATAGAATTAACAATGCCTTACAAATATTATTGTTTCATTTTATAAATTGATATTATATTTGAATCCATTTTATTATTGTTACCTGTCGTATTTTAACTTTACTATTCATTAAATGTATTAAACGTGCGCTGGTGAGAGGGAAGGGCAGCGGCAATAATTAAATACAATTAAAGGTAAAAACTATTCAAGTTTTTACTTCTTTCACAAAAGTGTAAATGTTAATAAAGTACAAAAAAGTTATAAAAAAATATATTTATGATCTGTCGTCAATAGTAGTGACATAAATCGAAAATGGAATGTTTGGTCATTTGGAGATGATAGATGAAAGAAGAATTATGAAAGAAGCTTATCGAACACGAATGAATGGAGATGTCGGTAGGGGCCACCCTAGAAAGACATATATCAACAAAATAGGTGAGCGAGTGCCCGTAACTGGCGAACGTGTATAAATAGATTAATATAAGTGGAGGAAGCGAAAGAGGCCTGTTTGAATCGGAACACTTAATGTTCCATTGTTTTTGCATACCCCAATAGGAGACAGGTGTGACAGATATGTATTATTATTATTATTATTTTAGCCGTTGGTTGTTCACTGCTGAACATAAGCCTTCCCCATAAGGAGAGTTTTGCCAGTAGTTGCCACGCTTGGCAGGCAGGTTGGCAACCGCAGTTAGGCTTTCAAAGATATTTTAAGAGGAACGCTGCTGCCCATCTCTCGACAGATAGATATGTATGTATGTAATTACTTACATATTATGGTGTGTATTTAAATATATACACATTTTATATTCCTTGTCCGAAAAATAATTAAACCAACAAACTACTTATTTTTAAACAGGACACCAGTTATTTTATGCTAGCGAATGTCAGTGGTGTATGTCCATAATGTTATTTATACCTATGTATAGATGCCGGTTACTAATTCTGTTACTATTAATGGAAAGAAGTGTACACTCGGCTTTTTTGCTATACCAAGATGCATAAAATAGCGATAAATATCTATGTTTTGGACAGATTTATTATCTTCTGGGATTCTTTGTATAGAATATATACTTATTTAACTAACTAGGTACCTTGAAATATTAAAACAAATACCCTTAAACTTAAATGTGTAAGTATACGAGTAACAAAATCAAACAATTGTTTTTTTTTCATTGTACTAAATCCTTACTTTATATTTGACAATTTTAAAAGGTAAAAAAAGTCCCACATGTATATCTATGCAATTAAAAGGTACTATTTTTAGTCAACAATAATTATTTTATCAGTCAATTGACAGTGTTTTGAATGACCCGCTCATTGAGTTTTCGATGCTGTTACTCTTTGGTTTCCGCTTAAGATCAGCTTTCCATAAGTTGTCGTTAAGGAACATTTTTCTGTAAATATAAATATTAAAATAAGTATAAAAAAGATTAAGTCAAGTACATACAAGAGGAAAGTACTGATCATTGTAAAAAGTTTTTATACTATTTCAAAAATATATTTTTATTATAATACGTGGTCGATTTCACCATATGGCTTTTGAAAGGTTTAGAAAAATAAAAGTGTGTATGTGTACATACATTACACCTTTGGATGGGGAAGAATAATAAATTACCTGTCTTTTAAAATTTTCGTGATCCACTCTTGGTTTTGCTCTTTCATGCTCTGTGCCTCTCCACCATATTCGGCCGGCAAAAACTTTTTGCCTATCCTCTGCTGAAGACTTTCAACATTGGAGTGGAATTTGATCTGCAATTAGTTAATTTCAAAATCTTATTGTGTAAAGTTCTAAAGAAATAAAACTATATAATCAACGCCTTGCCTTTGTATAATTATTTGGCATTGCCATATTCAAATCTTTATCCTTACTAATAATTAAGTTTATAATTGTGATAGTCTGTTTGTTTGTTACCTCATGGCGTATTGATGATAAAGAAAAACATAGGCTACTATTTATCCCGGTTACGAGGAAGAAGCATGTATACTATAATATATTATGATATATAATATATTATCCCGCGGTTCCGCCTGTGAGAATCAGTACATGAAGTATCCTATGTGTACCAAATTACATTTAAATTGACTAGTATTTGCGTGAAAGAGTAACTATCATTCATCCATCCATACAAACTTTTGCATTTATTATATTAAAAGGATTAACGTTCTATTTTAAAGCTAAATGTACTATTGTTTTAACAATAAGTAAATATATCATATAATATATATAAATATAAATATCATTTAAAAAACTAATATTTTCCATCAGATAGGCCACCAGCTCATTTGTTATTCCGAAGTAGTCTGAAAAGTTTTGTTAATAATGAAATCTAACATTACTAGCAATATACCTTAACAGGTTGACCTCAACGCGGTTCCCCCTGGGAACCATCGTGGTTAATTTTTGACGAATCCATTTCGATGGACCAACTAATCTGCTTCATCCTCACCTGCCATCTCTCACTAATGACCCACCAGGGTAAACTGATATCGCAGATGGTGTTGCCATACCATTTTCATTAATTAAAAAACACAGGTGGAATAAAGGTACTCGTTCAGACGACTTTCGTATAAAATCTCCCCTCGGGTACTGTAAGGTACATGAATCAATCGAACAACAAAAGCTAAATCGAACAAATGCCTTTGTTCAACTGCCGTTAGTGATTGGTTCTCTTTGTCTATTCTATAAAGATCTGCCATATAGTTATATCATCATCATCTTCCTACCCTTATCCCAATCATTTGGAGTCGGCGTAATATGATTTTACCATATTACAAAAAGATTTGCTTTTTTAGTTTTACGACCGACCACCTGCCTGACGTCAACCCTCTTTGGGAATTTATTATATATAAATATTCATTATATATATAAAATTACATATAGTTTATATATAGTTTATAAATATATAGTTTATATAAACTATATATAAACTTATAATATATATATATATATTATATATCTATATATCTTATAATATATATTATAAGATAAATGTATAATTTTTTTTTCTTACAATATCGCAAATCTCGGAGGGGAGCGCTGACTTGACAAGGGCGTACAATTTATCGTAATACGACGGACAATTCACGACGTGGACTTGTTTCACTCGGACCGGCATCGCTTCCTGAAATTAAGCAATATTATATTATTTATTGGAAGTGATTATATAGAAAATAATACAGGAAGTAGTTATGCCATAAATACTTACAAGCAAAAATATAAGAAAATCTCTAAAGTACATAATGTTGACTTTAGGAATGATCTTTAACGTGTAATCCTTGATATCCAGCACGATGATGTGACCAGACGGGAAGAAATCGTAATCTCGAAGCCAATAATCAGCTTGTATAGTGAACGATTTCAATACGTCGTAAAATGAGAATTTCTCCAAAAGCGGATCGTTGAGTTGATGGATCAAAATTTCATTATCTTCTGCTTTGTATGTAGTCACATTTCTGTAAAGAATAGAAGAAGATTTTGTTATGCAATTTAGAATAGCAAAGAAGCTGATGGATCATCTGATGAAAAATGGTAGTCTTTATCTATAGATATGAACAGCACCATGGATTTCCCAGAATATTTCTTGATTTATTTAAACCTCAATGCACGATTATATAATATAATTAAGTGTACATATGGCGGACTTAACACCTAATGACTTTCTCTACCAGTCAACCATGAGGCAAGCAAAAAATGATGTAGGCGGTGCATTTACTACTAATATAAGTACAAATGTTCTTACTAAGTATTATATACATTCACAAATATATATACGTATATGTATATACATACATACACTTACACAAATACATATATAAATAATATACAAGTATAATTCCATATATTCCTTAATGCAAGCTGTACATGATGTCCGAGTTGGGGGCCTGAATTTCTGAGATACAGATCTCTGATTTAGTTTAGGTTGCAGTCTCCCACAAGTTTTCAGTAATTATATATAGTTGTAGTTTTTTCATGTAACTGTATTTTTCTGTAAAATTTGTGGAGAAAATAAATAAAATTAAAAAAAAAATCTGATGATATAATGATAAATTAGAACAGATAAAAGAAAATAAGGCAGAAAATAGTACAATTAAATACCAAAGGAAAGGAGGGGAAAAAAGTTATTTAAAATAATGTGTTACAAGTTTTCAGGAAGTGAACCCGTAGTTTATATTTAAAGGATTTAGTTTAGATTTGTTTTTAATACATTTAATGTCAATAATATATTGTGTTACACCTTATAAATGTCATTTTATGAGGTGTAACAGTGTAACGTCTATAGTGTAACGTCTCTTTTCCTCGTAACTTTACTGCCATAGTACTTACTTAAATTGAAACATAGTTATACGAGCACATCTTGTTTGTTGGTACAAAGACGAACAGTACAAATGCACCTAAACATTTGACTTTGTATACTTATATAGTAGCAGATCAAAATATCGATAAATGTTAATTGTAAACCAATCTCAATATAATAATGTACGTCAAAGCTTCGGTTGGGTAAAGTAAAGAAAATAAGAAAAACCGAAAGTATATGCATTATATTTTACTCCTTAAATTATGTTATTCATTTCATACAAAAATATTGGACAGAAAAAATTTAAATGCTATTTTAAATTGCCACTTCCTAGAGCTTTAGTAATTGAATAAATTGTAAATTAATTTTTTTTTTATTTGTCTCATTTTTGCCAATATTCGATGCATTTCTTCATTACAATATTATGTATGAAATGGATTTTAAAAAAGGAAATGGAAAATACGTTATTACCTAATGACAGAAAATAGATAAATAGGAAGGATTTTAGTACAACATAGTGGAACTGTTCGACTTTTTCCGTTTAGTGAAAAATATCAAGTTCTAGACTAGTATAAAGATATACGTACGTAATTGAAAATGATGATGCCATCTTTGATGATGTAGGATCCCTCGACGTATACAGCTCGCTGAGTAAGGCACGCGTTGTACAAAACTTCTCTATGCACTTTTTGGTCCGCTCCAAACTACCGTAACAGCTGTGCAGGAACTTCCTCAGCATTATGTCATCTATAAATTTCAATAAAACTTATGAGAGACATAAAAAAAAATGCTCCAGGAATATCCTTACTATAATTATAAATGAGAAAGTGTGTTTGTTTATTATCTTCTAGTGCTTTGACGGCTTAACCAATCGCTGTGAAATTTGGTATTATATGGGATGGAAAAGGATTTAGGTGACTTTTTATCCCGATCGGTAAACATACCCCGGTCACGCGGACAAAGTCGCGGGTAAAAGTTAGTAGGTACTTAATAAATGTTATTTACTTATTTTGATCCTGTTGCAATAAGAAGCGTCATGGTTATGCCGTAACCGATAAACTGGGTATATGACTTGTAGGCAAATATATCTGTTTACTTAAAGTCATAACTTTCTTCGATGTTTATTTTCGTCAGAGTAAATTAATAAACTATCGAACTCACAAGTCACCTTGACAATAAAATTCATGACAATAATGACGTCACAAGTTTTACCTCTATATTATTAAAATAATTTTAAGTCTCGATTATCTATATATATATATATATATATATATATATATATATATATATATATATATATATATATATATATATATATATATATAATATATACATATTCATGAAACTAGATTCTAGAGTCTAGAATATATGTTAATTAACTGACACAGATAGGCTATGTCCTTTATCATCTCAAGTGCGTATTATCTCAAGTAAAATAATATGTTACACCAAATTTCATGATGCTTGGTTAAGCAGTTAAGGTACCATCTAACGGACTCGCTTTCACATTTATAATAAAGCAAATATTAGTAAAGATTTCACTATTACATCGTTACCATGACTCGTGCTACAGTGTCCAAATATTTGCGCACTCAAATAAATAAATAATTATCTAAGAATCCGTCAATTCCTTATGTTAATTTTAATTAAATATACATAATTAATTATTATTGTTATTAGTAACATCATTTTTTAAAATCTATTTTTATAGCAATATTAATATAAGTATTTATGTTAATCGACTTTTTGCAGGCTTTTTTTTATTTATTTGAATTTATAACAGGAATTAGGTACTTTTAAATCCAATTATGATAACATTAACATAAACATAAAAATGAGTTTAATTTTACTTAGAGGGCAACAGTTTTCTGTATGTTCGAAAACATTAACAATGTACTGATATTGTCGATTAATTTAAAATAATTTAAAAATTTAATTTAATATTAAATATGAAAATATTACTTAGCTAATACTTATCTCCAAGTTTCATTTTCTCTATGTCTATCTTTTTCTTATATGTGTCTATATATGTATATACAGATACACATATCGTCATAGTCGTAGAATACTGACGGATATGTATATGTAATATTTGTCAGAACTGTCAGTATTCTACGACTATGACAATATGTATATACATACACATATATACATACATATATTATGTAATTATATTTATAAATAATAATTTTAGTCTATATAATGAAATATATATAACCTCATACATCATTACCTATCTGGTTAGTGATATCCTGTTAAATAAGTAAATAAAAACACTCAAAATAAATAATCATAAATTATTATTATCTTACTAGTTTTTCCTCATATAATAAAATTGGAACTAGACGATGTCTGACGATGCCATATGAAATATTTAAGGAAAATTTATACGAGGGACTTTAATAAGAGTAATAAAAGCCAAAACAATATATTTTAGAATGTTTGTCTGTCTGTCTGTTTGTTTGTTTCGGTATCACGCAAAATTTTTGTACTAAATTGGATGAGGTTTTCATAGTTGTGTTCCTTAAAGTTTTAGTTCAAATCTGATATATGTTTTATCTTAACATGTCTTTTAAACGTGATTAAGTACTTCCGTAGTCCACGTGTACGATGTTGAGGGCAAAAACTAACGTGTTTATGAAGATATTTGTTAACAGTACTATGCAAATAGTTAAAGATACAACATGATAATTATTTACAAGCTCAAAACCAGTTGAAGTTGAAGGTCATGGTACTTAAGGTACATTGTTGTTTATACGTATGTGTTTATTTTCCATTATTAAATGTGATTTTTTAATTCCAATCGAGGCAGCCATGGGTACTGGCCATTAGATGGGCGCTTAAATAAATAATATATATAAAAATCCTATTAGTTTATTAATTTTTATCAAAAAAACGTTTAGTGAGTACCCTCGTAAAGTGTCTAAAGATAGCAGTAACGCGTTTAACTAAACTTTGAAGTAAAAAAATGTCGTTACATTACGACCACTGCAAACATAAATCTCTGCAAATACTTATTCTATGGTATGTTTATATAATACTGTGCACACAACTCTAGACTAAATATATATTTATACTTATATAACAAATTTAAGGGACCGTGAAGCTTATACCTGCGTGCACTGTAACGAAAAAAAAAAAACATTTGTATTTATAAAAAAAAAGAATTTCTATTGTGAAAGTAGATACATGTGTAACGAGATTGTAGATGCACAACACTAATTGATAATAGTAAAGAAAGTTACATTTCGAGCGACTTTGATATAGCTAATAACAGTATTAGAAAACCGAAAGTGTATATTATGGGTTTGTTAGTGCGATGTATTATGCAACTAGATGTGATCGCGGCTTCGTTCGCGTGACCGTGATAATAGGTGGCCTATGTCCTTTTCCATGCGAAATAGCAAGCGTATGTCAAATTTCGTGACGAAATCTTGAGATGAGATAAAAAAACTCACTTTCACATTTGTACCTAATATTAGTTATGATTGTATAACGACTTAATAATACTGTGTATATATATATATATATATATATATATATATATATATATATATATATATATATATATATATATATATATATATATATATATATATATATATATATATATATATATATATATATATTTCTTACTACTTAATAATTCAAAAACGATAAAAAAATTTGAGACTTCCATACCAATTTCATAGCTAAACACGCTGTAATGAATGAAAGGATAGGAATGGATGAATAAATGATTTATTGTGCACACTATGGTAATTACAGCTCGTTAAGAAGATAATATGTCGTACTACACAGTCTATTCTACTATTAGTGTGCGGTTTCAAATTATTTTGTTGTTTTTTAACGCATGTTTTTTTTTTTTATTAAAATTCTCAGTTTCACTGGTAGAATAATCCCATTAAAAGGGTGCTAGAGATTTTGACTCATTCTTCGTACGTATATATAGTATTTTTTATAAGTGTACCTTTTTCTTGTACCTTGTGGTAACTGAGATAGAATACAATAGATTTGACTCTAAAATGCCACTCTCGATCTATTTCCCATATGTGAAAAGTGTAAATTGACAGTACTAAATCCATCAATACGCTAACAGTCATAATTGTCGGCACTTGGCGGAACTTTGATCATATTATATTGATACTAGCTGACTCGACAAATAAAACTTTTTTAGATAGGAACACCTTAATCATCTAGCGGTATGAAATATTCTCTACGATGTAGACATTTGGTAGATACTAAATATATATTATATAAAAAAAATTATTAAATACGATCAAGCTGTTTCGGAGGAATGCGACCACAAATACCGTGACACGAGACTACCATTCGGTTTATAAGATATGACAGGAAACAAAACATATCAGTGCAAAATTAGGGAAACTTGAAATATTTATTCATTTTTATTTATTCTTTATTGCACAATAATATTTTGTACAAATGACAAGCTTAATGCTATATGGCATTCGCTACCAGCCAACCATTAGGCAAATACAGAGAGCATCTGAAGGGCAAATGTAAAAAATATGTGACATAATTTATAGTAACATATTGAAGTATGTATATTGTTATACCAAGTTGCTACTTCAGCCTGGTAATAGTATCTCCCTCATTCTCTTCAAAAGTAAAATATATTATTCATCACATTTGGCATTACAAAGTTAAAATGTAAATGTATAATTATTATAAATATGAAATCATTGCTTTAACCTATATGAAGGGAATGATATAAGCTGTAACAGCTGGAAAAGCTGGAAGAGTTATCTGTGTTCTTTTGATAATATATCGATAAAAGAAATTTAGTTAAATTTAATTATTTAAATATTATTTTTATTTGATTAGATTTATGGGATTAGAAATTATTCATTTATGGATTGAAGAGGAAGAGAAATTATTCCTGAATCTACATGTGGATCCAAGTGAACTAAAGCAACTTTTCAACTACGAGATCTGAATAAAACCATAAAGTAATTTAATTACGTATAAATATGTTAAGTACTTACAATCAATTTACAACAGTGTGATAAATCATCTTTCACCTGCTCCGACGTTACTCTTACATCCGGTATTTAAATGAATGGACAGACGAAGACATAGTATAACTATAACGCTATTTGGTGTAGTTCCAACATAAACAAACGCGAGCATATGGGTTACATTCACTACAACGGTAACATTCGACATGTTTCTGACTACACGTTTAGGGATTATAATCGTGAACTTTTTTTGCAACATAAACATACAATAACTGAGATGATGGTGATGAAACATACAATCATTTATTTATTTACACTTTATTACACTATTTAAATATTAAATACAGTATATTTTAATGAGAAGTGTTACTAAAGGCGGCCTGGCCTTATCGCTAAGCAATCTCTTCCACACAACCTTTGGGTAGAGGACATAGAGGACAGGACATGTAGGTACATACTGGCGATTGGAATATTTATTATACAGAGTGTTTAAAAATCAACTGTATTTACATCCAATCTTATCGAGTTTGTTAAAATAAATAATAAAAAAATCACACAATAACGCCAATTTCCTGTTTCCTCATAGCACAGGATATTCTAGTTTGAGGCTCAAACTATGACATCCTGTGTAATCAGAAATGAAAAGGCAGCGAATATCCGGGAGTATACATAGATCTAAGTCAAAAAAGTAAGTAATTAAAAGTTTTTGGTAAGAATTAGTATGGTGTAATCTCATAGCCAACTCTGAAAATATACATATTTTGAGTT